GAGAGCATATTTTGAGAATTAAGACTAAGATCTTGGAGTCTACTGTTATTAATTTGAAAAGACTGGCAAAAAGGCCTTAATCTCACAATCTACTTAAATACTACTTAAAACAGCTTTGATTGTCAAAGATGATGCAGCGATGTAGTCTAGTTCAGTTAAGTCAAGATCAGAGCATATTTTGAGAATTAACACTAAGAGCGTGAAGTCTACTTTTATTAATTTGGAAAGACTGACAAACAGGCCTTCATCTCACAATCTACTTAAATACTACTTAAAACAGCTTTGGTTGTCTAAGATGATACAGAGATGTACTCTAGTTCAGTTAAGTCGGGATGAGAGCATATTTTGAGAATTAAGATTAAGATCGTGGAGTCTACTTTTATTAATTTGGAAGGCCTGGCAAACAGCCCTTAATATCACGATCTACTTAAATACTACTTAAAACAGCTTCAATTGCCTAAGATGATTCAGAGATGGATGGTAGTATGTCCAATATTAAAAGAAATCGGCCTCAGGTTGTCTGATTAAAGCAAAACGATATACTTATTTCGAGGTATACTTGATGGTTGTCATGCAATTTGCCAAATTTGTTTAGGCATTTGAGACGCTGTGCCTGCATTCTGGCATCGAATGTTGCACCGTGCATGGTCTGGCCAAGGGCGTGGACTACGTGGTCGGCGAAGGCCTGACAAGCCCGACGAGCCAAACCGGCACACGTCCGTCGTCTCCGTCGGACTCGACGAAGACGCCCGCTAGTCCGCTGCCGCTCGACGCGACGTTGGTGGACGCAAAGACCGGCCAAGTGGCCCCGCATCTCGTCCACCTTCAACACGCTTGGAACGCGGCTCGCATCGACGGCGTCTGGCGTCTGTTCGACCCGACGTGGGCGGCTCGTCGACTCGCCGTTCACGGCGCCACTTCGGCGTCGGGTAGCACCGCCGGTTGGCGCACCTCGCAGACCAGCCAGGCCGCCATGTTGCGCTACGAGACGGACATGTTCTACTTCTGCACCGAGCCAACCAAGATGATCTATACCCATTTCCCCTTCAACGGCATCTGGCAATTGCTACAGCCGCCCATAAACCTGGGAGTGAGTGACAATTTATTTGCGAAATTAGTACTTTTTCAGACTTTCAATGATTCGTTGATACGGACTTATTTAGTTTAGGTTGCCATAGGATGGAAAGTTAAGTCTTGCTCTACTATCAAATAGTGTTTTAATTGCATCGCGTCATTCTGTATTGCATCACATCATTAAACCCCGACAGAATACGGTAGAACTTGCAAAACATTTTTTCGATATGAGTAGGCTAAGACACTATCACTAACTCATGAATACAAAATGCTTCAGATTTAGTCACTTAAATCGGAGGACCAAGATGACGTATTCTTTAATATTATCACGCTCTCTCTTTGTTTTATAGAAGCGGGTTGGCCTGGTTTTCACAACTTGATCGAGGTCCAACCATTTCTGTTAAGAACGGATATTCGAATTTTACTCTTCTACCAAAAAGTATTCGCATTTCATTGTGTCTCATCACCTAATACAATCTGGGCTGAAAATACAGCAAAGATTCGGGATATCTTGATAGTTACAAGATATACTTTTGATATGAGTAGCTGTAGAAAGTATTCACAATTCTTGAATAGAATCGCGATTAATCTTGGTCGCTGATATTGAAAATAAGTAGTGTCAGCGTCGCGCATCACCGCCGATTGGGGAACCTCGTAGACCAGCCAGGCCGGCATGTTGCGCTACGAGACGAACATGTTCTACTTCTGTACTGAGCCGACGAAGATGATCTACACCCATTCATCCATCAACGGCCTTTGGCAATTGCTACAGCCGCCCATAAACCTGGGAGTGTCACAATTTCTTTGCGCAATTAGTACTTTTTCAAACTTTCAATATTTCGTTGATACAGACTCATTTAATTTAGGTTGCCATGGAATGTAAAGTTGAGTCTTCCTTTACTATCAAAAGGTGTTCCCATTGCATAGCGTCATTCTGTATCGCATTACATCACAAAACCCCGCCAGAATACGGTATAACTTGCAAAACATTTTTTCGATATGAGTAGGCTAAGACACTATCACTAATTCATGAATACAAAATGGTTCACATTTAGTCACTTAAATGGAAAGACCAAGATGACATGTCTTTTACTATTTTAATGCTTACTTTTTTTTTAGAGAAACGAGTTGGTCTCGTTTTCACAACTTAGTCGAGGTCCAACCACTTCTGTTAAGAACGGATATTCGAATTTTACTCTTCTACCGAAAAGTATTCGCATTTCATTGTGTCCCATCATCTCATACAATCTGGGCTGAAAATACAGCAAAGATTCGGGATATCTTGATAGTTACAAGATATAATTTTGATAGGAGTAGCTGTAGAAAGTATCCACAATTCTTTATTAAAATCGCGATTAATCTTGGTCGCTGATATTGAAAATAAGTAGCGTCGGCGTCGCGCACCACCGCCGATTGGCGCACCTTGTAGATCGGCCAGGCCGCCATGTTGCGCTACGAGACAAACATGTTCTACATCTGTATCAAGCCGACGAAGCTAATTTACACCCATTTTCCCTTTAACGCCATTTGGCAATTGCTACAGCCTCCCATCAACCTGGGAGTGAGTCACAATTTCTTTACGCAATTAGTACTTTTCCAGACTTTCAATGTTTTGTTGATACGGACTCATTTAGTTTAGGATGGAAAGTTGGGTCTTCCTCTACTAGTAAAAGGTGTTTCCATTGCATTGCGTCATTCTGTATTGCATCACATCATAAAATCCCGCCAGAATACAGTAGAACTTGCAATACAAATTTTCGGTATGAATAAGCTAAGACACTATCACTAATTCATGAATACAAAATGGTTCAGATTTAGTCACTTTAATGGGAAGACAAAGATAACGTGTCCCTTACTATTTTCACGCTTACTTTGTTGTATAGAAACGAGTTGGTCTCGTTTTTACAAATTGGTCGAGGTCCAACCACTTCTGTTAAGAACGGATATTCGAATTTTACTCTTCTACCAAAAATTATTTGCATTTCATTGTGTCTCATCACCTCATACAATCTGGACTGAAAATACATGAAAGAGTCGGGATATCTTAACAGTTACAAGATATACTTTTAATATGATTAGCTCTAGAAAGTATCCACAATTCTTTATTAAAATCGCGATCAATCTTGGTCGCTGATATTGAAAATAAGTAGCGTCGTCAATTGCAATGACAAGCGCATGTTTGTTTCGTACGAAAGTGCATAATAAACAGATTTTTGGTCGATTCTTGTTTTACTGCAGTCTTTGGCTGTAATATGACCCTCAGGTTGACGCAGTCCATGAGGCATCCTCACTCGTTCTGGGCTAAAACGGGTTGACATTTCGTCCATTTTATGCAAAATATCAGATGTATTAATCCTGTTTCGTTTAATGTGATGAAGGAATGATATTAGAATTTGCCCACATTGATATGAGTAGAGCTCACGTCTATCATCACCTTAAACGAAATTGTGTAAATACATCTCATATTACTCGTCTACTCGTAGTCTCGAAACTATACTTACATATGAAAAATATCATCAGAGCTGGGACTCAAGCTTGCAAAA